CAGCATGGGTTTGGACATATGTCCTATCTAGTTCTGACTGCCTCTGTGGGGACAGAAGCTCGTCTTCTATCTGGCAAGTCTTGTCACCTACTCTATCTTCCATAACCTGAGCCATGGGAAAGCCAAATGCCCACCATGCCCAAACAGAGGTACAGGCAAGAGGTGACCAGGGCCTTCCCTTAGCACCTGCTCATCATCTACCTTTGATGTCGTTTTTCAGGTACCACCCTATGCTGGTCACCAAGAAGTATAGGCTGTCTATAGGAGACCACACTCAGGTAAGATGGGCACTGCTATTATCTTCACTTTTAAAAACCATGATAAAGTGAACTGGAGAGATGGCTTAGTGGGTAAGGGTGCTACTTAAGCATGGGGACCTGAGTTCAGATCCCAGCACCCATGTAAAAAAAAAAACAAAAAAACCCTAGACATGGCTGCATGTTTGCCTGTAACCCCAGTACTGTGGGGGAACAGAGACAGGAGGATTGTTGGAGTTTGTAGCCACCAACTTTGCTCCAGTTTCAATGAGAGGCCCTTTCTCAAAGAGAGAAGGAGAAAAACGAGAAAGCAGTTTGGCCAATACCCTCCTCTGGCCTCTGTGTACGCCTATAGGCACATACATAACAACATACACCATTGTGATAAAGTACACATTACATAAAGTTTATCATCCTAAGAAACTGTTCAACTTAATCTTTTTTTGAGACAGGGTGTCATTATGTAACCCAGGCTGGCCTGGAGGCCTAGAACTTGCCATCTTCCTGCCTCAGCTTCCTGAGTGCTGGTATCCCAGCTGTATGCCCCCATGCCAAGGGGCATCTTAACCTTTTCTAAGTGTATGGTTTAGGAGAAATCATGTGGTTGTGCAACCAACTTCTAGAAGCTCTTTTGTCTTACAAAACAGAAATATATGCCCACTAAACAACGACTCCACATTCCTTACTTGAACTCTTGGTTACCGCCATCTACTTTCTGTTCTATGATCCGCCCCCCCTCTCATTTTGTGACAGTTTCACTATGTAGCCCAGACTGGCCTGGAATTTGCTATGTAGCCCAGGCTGACTTTGAACTCTTGGTGATCCTCCTGTCTTGCCCTACTGAGCACTGGGATTCCAGGTGTGTACCGCCAAGCACATCTGTGCTCTTCATAACTCTTGTAAGTGAAATCATGCCTTCATGTGACTAACCTATTCATTAAGCATGTTCTCACTAGTCAGCCATGTAGTCATTCATGTAGTATGTGTCAGAATTTGTGTTTGTTTTTGTTGTTGTTAATGGTGGATAATACTGCCCAGCATGGTGGCACACGCTTTTATGCCAGAGGCAGGTGGATCTTTGTGAGATCAAGACCAGCCTGCTCTACATAGAAGACTCTGCCTCAAAAAAAAATGAACATCACATTTTGTTTATTTATTCAGCTGTTGATAGAGATTAAGATTGTTTTCACCTTTTGGTTACTGTGAATAATGCTGTGTGTGTTTGTATGAGGTATAGACACATGAGTGCAGTGCTCATGGACTCCAGAAGGGGGCATTAGATCCCCCTAGAACTGGAGTTACAGGGTTGTGCGCTCCCTGAGGTAAGTCCTGGGAACTGAACTCAAGTCCTCTGTAAGAGTGCCATCCACTTTTAACCACTAAGCCATCACCCCAGCTCCACAAATAACTCTTTGAAACCCTAGTTTCAAGTTTGGTGTGCACCGGGAAAAGAAATGGCTGCATCATATGGTAATTCCATTTTTATTTGTGCGTGTGTGTGTGTGTGTGTGTGTGTGTGTGTGTGTGTGTGTGACAGGGTCTCATGTATCACAGGCTGGTCTGGAACTCACTATATAGCCAAGGATGACCTTGAACTTCTGATCCTCTTTTCTTCTACTTCTGAGTGCTGAGATTACAAGCATGCACCACCACACCCAGTTTATTCTAGTCTTAATATTCTAAGGGACAGTAATACTTTTCTCCATAACAGCTGTGGTATTTTACCATCTGCTCTGGTTTGAGTTTTTATTCAGTTTTGTTTAGGGACAGGGTTTCACATTGTAGCCTAGGCTGACCTTGAACACATGGATAGCCTCCTAATTCAGCTTCCTGAGTACTAGGATATAGTTTGGTTCTTAAATGTCCCTGTAAAGACATTTGCTAAAGGCTTGGGTCCCAGCTTGAAGTTGCTGTGGGGTGGTGGAAACTTTAAGAGGTGGGGCCCTCTAGAAGGAACTGAGGTCATTGGAGGGAATTTTAGGACTCTGGTCTCTTCCTCTTTCTCACGCTTATGTGTCTCCTCCATGAAGAAAATGGTTTTGCTCTAAACGAACTCCTAATCATGATGAGCTCCTTCACCATAGGCACAAAAGCAACAGGGCCAGTTGATATGGACTGGAACTCCTAAACCACAAACCAAAATAAACCTGGTCTCTTTATAAATTGATTGTGTTGGGAATTTGTTAGAATAACTGAAAACTGAACACCACATTCCCACTAATAATGCTTGGGGTTCCAATTTCTCCACATCCTCAATGATACTTGTTCCATTTTTATTTCTGTTAGTCATCACCCAGGCACTTTGTGTCACTGCCCCCTCTGGGGAGAGCCATCCTTCTCACTCAGTCTGGTTCTTGCTTCCTTCCCTCCTCTTTCCAGACACCAATGCCCTTTGCCTTTTATTTTATTACCATCATCCAAAAAG